GAAAAGTGGTGGTGGAAGACCCTTTGTCCAGGGTGGGACACACACAGACACACACACACCCACACACAGTGTCGCATGCAGGGACGAATTACAGCTTCCTGCACCCAAACCGCATGCAATCGTTGTTTGAACCTGCATAACAGGGTTCTCGACCAGCATTGTTTGGATATGAAATAATAAGTGCATTATGTTATCACATGGGTTCAGACTTGGAGATATGTTCAGACTTAGTTATGTAGCTTGTACAAACTAATTTAAATTCTTTCGTATTTGCTGGAGTCCATCTCCCAATTCGATTAATCCATGGCAATGGATACTGGCAAGTTCGCTCAGCATGAAAGCCAGCACTCAGACAGCAAGCTGAAATGTTCTGTGTCGTTGTTCAACATCTATATAGAAAAGTTCTTGGGTATAGCAGTGCGTATTGCAAAACATCACACACACAAGGCGCGAAAAGCATTGCCAGACTTGGGCTTCAATATCCAAACCCAAACATGAGTTTACACCCCAAATGGCCCAGTGCCGCCAAAGAGCATGGTTTTGCTGAAGCGATGAAGAAAGACCAGAATTCTTTGTGACACCGCCAAAAGACCGTTGGCGTAAAGGTGTAAACCTTGATCCACAAATCTCCACAAGGCCTTGATTCAGGACCCATGTCCGAATGAGGCACCGTGCAGTATCAAGATGTATCAAGTAATTATCCATGAACCTGTCATTCATTGTCATTTATTGGTCTTCATTCATGCAAGAGGTTTGATCCCTTCATTGCGGAATATCTCCAGTTCTGAGGTGCAGATGTGTCCGAGGATTCGCCGTGGAAAAAGAAGCTGCCTCCCGGCCGCATTTACACGTTTGAAGCAGGGGGGAACTGGTAGAGCCGGAGGAGTACTCTGAAATACGAAGCTCGGATGACCAGCGTTCCCTAAAAGAATGTACAGTGCACATCAGCACACAATGATGGAACAGGGCCCACTCAAAGTTCAATTGCTGCATCCACCAAGCTGCATCACTGCATCTCTGCTCACCGGGGTGGTTTGGCTGCAATTCTCAGGGGTTGGAGCGGCTTGCCGTCTTGGACAATCCGTCCACTTCGATATCTCCCAGCCCTCCCCGTTCAGCGCTCAGGCGGAGTGAGGTCATGATGCATCAGAACAGCAATGGACAGCTGCACTTCGCCCTTCGATCTCTGTGGACCGAGCACTCGAGCCGTGACGCGTACAAACCCGCGGTGGGGGAGGTGTCCTTCCGCTCCGGAGGTCAAACTGGTGGGGTCTTCGAAGGTTGATTGAACTTGTTTGAGTGATCTAGAAGGGTCTTCAGGGTGGATGTCCACCCTCCTGGTCTTTTGAACCGCACAGGTCTGGGCCGGCCCACCTTCCGTGGCTCAACCGCACCGTGCCTCAAACCAAGTCTCTCCGATTCTCTCCGTGGATGAGAAAAAGAGTCTCAACCACCCACGTAGCGATATCCAAAAGCTCTGCCCTCAAAGAGTGGGCATATGATACAAAAGAAGGATTGAATGATTTTCGTGGACGAACCGTCACTGCCCGGGTCGCTTGATTTTCACTTCGTGTTTTGGGTAGGAATGCATTCTCCATTCGGTTTTGGACTTGGTGCAGGATTGAAAGCAAGGACGATGAGTCACCACGTTTGCAGAAGAGAGTCAGTTGCACATTGCCTTCAATGACCGACGAGAAGGTTTTGGCAGAGGTAGAGGAGCACGTGTTTTCTTCATGTCTTTTTCTTCCCTTGTTGTAACCAGCTCCTCGTTTTGTTTGGAATCGGACAAAAGCTAGCATAACTGTTTGATTAATGGTGAAGTGCGCATGATCCGCCATTTGGATTGTGCACATACAACGTGCCTTTTACTCGCACGATTTTTGGTGTGGCAATACAAAAAGCATCGAGAAAGATTTCTGTTGGGACGCATAATTTAGACCAACGGCCCAGGACTTGGTTGGGGATTGACAGTGGAGTTCGCTAGAACCGCGCTAAACCACTCTGCACATTTGCCCACTTGACCACCCACTTTCCACCGACTATTACATCTACTGTACTACAGACACACACACACAAGAATGATAGATGCTTCACCTCAATCAACAACAAAGTCATGTTGCAGGTTGCTACCTTTTTAACTCTCTGTACACACGCGTATGTAAGAAGACTGCCACTTTGAGCTTCACACTTGGAAAAAAGGGGTGCAAAGCACACAAAAACACGACGTTGTACATGAGGACCTGTTCTCCATATGAATGCCACTGCTTGATTCTATGATTTGGAGTCGGGATAATGTTTTGAACAAGTGCAGTTTTTCAGCTACTGACAAACGTCACTTGTGCATGCTTAGAGACATGAACAGCACGGATGTGAACATCCTTTGGGAATCGTTTCTCTTCAAGCTGAAAGAGGTCACAGATAGTCGCCGTGGCGAGAGATGGCACCCATCGCGGGTCCAACCAGCTCGCTTCGTCGTCGTTCCCAAAGTGAAAGCCAAGCGCTTGGACATGCCAGAGCGCTTTCGGCGCCTTTGTCCTCCGTTTGAATGGAATCTGGAATCCAAGCGGCCAGGAGTACTCAGAGAGCCAGTCGCTTCTTTGGATGCTTCAGCATCCGGCAGCCCGATTCCGAATGTGCTGGGTAGCTCTAGGCTTGCTGATGCTGGCCCACGATGTGGTGACGATGCTTGGAGTGGGACGGGTCGAGTGAGTCGAGTGGAACTGTTTTCCACTGGACCGAGAGGGTCATCCGCAAACAGTTACGGATCGTCTAAACAATCCCTGGACCATTTGTAACAGAGCTTTGGAAGCTAAAAACCATTTCAGGTCCAGATTCTTTGGGGTAGGTTGAACGAGTTGATGGCAAGACAAATTGAACGAGTTGATGGTGTGCTCAGTGTCCTCAAGGAATGGTTGAATTCGACAAACTAGCACCTCAAAAGATCTCAAACAACATTCCAATATTTGACCCACTAGAGGGAATCACTACTACACGACTCCGATTGCTTTTTCCCCCAGTGTGGTCACGCTGGGGGTTCTTACGGTAAGGGTTGAGGCCGGGTGTTCAATCTCATCAGTGTGTCTGGCTAAGTCGCTGTTTACGCTACATTCATGCCTCCAGATTTTCGAAGTGGGTTTCGACTGCGCAGGCTTGCAGAAAGTCTCTAGCTGGCGCGGGTGCTTTCCTCCACTGCGCTCTCGTTGTGGTGCCGTGCGCATTTTTGGACTTGGCGGTCACTTGTGGTGGCAGGCACAAGGGACACTTTGTGGTTTTTGTGGTTCAAGGTCAACTTTTCATGGCAGGCGCAGGAGATCGGAACGGGTTTTCTTCGATGTGCAGATTTCGTGGCAGGCGCAGCGCTTTGGACGCGGTGGTGGTCTTCGGTGCGCTCTGATTTCGTGGCGTGAATCATGCTGTTTGGACATGGGGTTCGTTTTGAGACTTCTGGGGACGTATCGAGCGAAAGCGGGGTGTTGGCATCTTGATGTTGTCTTTGGAAGTGCTTTTGCTGCGAGACACCTTCGCAGTGAAGCTTGATGTGCAGATTACCTCGTAGCCTCCGTGGCAGGCACGGCACTTTGTGCACTTCAAAGTGCAGACTTCGTGGCAGGCGCAACATTTTGCACACTTTCAAGTGCTAACTTCGAGGCAGGTGCAGCTTTATGTGAGCACTATGTGAGCCGCTCTTTTATGTGTGATCTCTTTTGTGCTTTTTCATGTCTGTGCTTTCATATATGTGCTCTCATATTCGTGCTCTATGCTCTCACATCTGTGCTGTTGTATGTGTGCTCTTACATGTGTCTCCCATAAGTGAGTTCCATACTCTCTCATATAAGTGCTCTCATGTGTGTTCTTATGTGTCCCTTTTCTTGACTGCTCTTATATGAGCTCTCATGTGTGTGCTCGCAATGTGTGCTCTCATGTGTTTTCGCTGAACTGTACACGGCAGCTTTGCGGTACGTGCCATGACTACGAGTACTATATCCTTGACTTGGAAACTCCAATGAAACAGGAGGCAGCAGATTCATAAGTTATTAGAAAAAATCTTTCAATGCTTCCGGAGAGCCGGAGACACATGCATCCGTGGAAATATTATTAAGTATTGAGCGGCTCCATGAATTTGCGGCTTTCTGTCCCATTTGCGTGTTTCTTACACGCAGTGGCAGCTGTCATCCACTGCAGTACTTGCATTTTTCATGAATTTCACAAACCTAGCCACGCGAGACTGACATTTTTTTCTGTCTACTTCTATTTTTTTTCTCACTGTTTGGAGTCTCTTGGCGGGATGATTTGGTAGCATGCGGTGGCTGGGCGGGGTGCACATGCCGGAATGCCATGAAGGAATCAACCTCAGCTGGCTGTCGACATTTCATATCCAGCAGACCTAAGTTGGTCTCCAAGGCCGAGGGTATTCTTGTAAGGATTTGACATAATTAACACACACTTGGTTTTTTGAAAGCTGCTGTGACTGAGGATTCCCTTGCGCGTCTTTGGCATCGAAGAGTCGATCGCCATGCGTGTCATCTCGTGGATTGTCAGGCTTCCAATATTGCATGACCACACTAAATATACAATAATTCTACATCATAATTGAAGAACTCCTTCTGCATAGATCATTGGATGGAAGGGATCATAGAGATCGGACACTGCCTGCAATTCTCTTTTGGATGTCTATCCACGACTTTTTTGGTTCTCGATCCGACTCGATCCTTGGAGGGTGTACTGGAGCTTGGACATCTTCTTGTCCTTCTTCGTGGGTTTCTATGATTCGGGCCGCTTGGTGGTGAAGCTGGAACGAACGGTGAAGCACTACCTGACCAGTTGGTTTCTGCTGGACATCACCGTTGTCTGCCTGGATTGGGTCTTCCTCATCCTCGAGAGCGTGGGCGATGGTGTGGATGGGGTGCCACGCTTGTCCAAGACGGTGAGGATTGATTGGGAGGACTGGGGAATGGCGAGGTTGGATGAGGCACGTGAAGACATGGCCTAATGACAATGATTAGGTTTTGACAGCAGGACGTCAGGCTTTGGTAACATCTCAAGTGCCCATGACGCTTATGACGAAGTGTAAACGATGCGTTTGGACATCAGTCATTTTGATCGTCAAGAACCATGGATTCTTTTGATGTACTTGACCCAACGTCCTTTCGGCAAACAACTTTTCAATCAGTCCTCAATCATCCCAGACTTTGGTGCCCTTCCAGATGGAAGTGGAAGTAAGACTAGTTGGAACAAATAGCATTGGCAGGTCTACTGCTTGTCACGTTTACAACGGAATTGGACACCCAGACCGACACGTAGACTGGCAGGATCTTCCGCCAGCCCCGGCCTGCCCACGGACTCGACGGGCAGGATCTTCCGCCTGGCACGCCTGGCACGGCTGGGACGTTTGCTGAAAGTGCGCAGCCTCACCTCGGCCATCGAGGACCGCTCCGAACACGACCCCAACAGACGTCCAAACACGTCGCACATCGGGGAACGGGGCCAAGAAGGGTTGGACAAGCAATATGGGTGGACAGCTTTGTCGTCGTTGTCGCCGTCGGTCGTTTTTTTCCCTCAATTTCAAGGTTTCTTGTCAATCAGAGTTGGGGAGAACCTCATCCCGGGGATGTTCATGGACTGTCTGAGACGCGTGGCCGTCTCCCTCCAGTCTGGGATAAGAGCTTACAAATAGTTTATGCCTCTCGAGACAGACCCAGATGTTCTTGAAGGAAAGCCCTCGAGTTTGCTCCAATGGGCCCTGTGAAACAGCGCGAGTGGACCCTTTTTGAGACAGCTGATCACCCTGCCAGAAGCGGTGGGAACTTTGGAACTTCCGGAGATAGTTCATGGCACACTTGCCAAACCTGGCTCATCAAACATGCCATGTCCTCTGAGATCGTAACCTTTGATCATCTCAGATTGGAGGAGTATTTCAGCTCGGAGACAGCATCCATCTACTACAGCATGATTAAGATCAGTCTTTGGTTGCCTCAAAGTTGCACATGATCATGAGGCCTCCAAATCTTAGACACGGATCCTGTCGCAACTGTGCCACTGAGGCTTGTCATGAATCATGTGATCGCTTGCATTTGGTTTGGCATGACGAGTGTGGAAGACGAGCAAAATTGGGTTTTGGCAAATCAGCTGGATGGGAGGTCCGGACTCTATCAATATGTGCCTTGGCATCCAGAATTGAGACTTTGGTGATGATGCCTTGGTACCGCGCATGTAGTGAGTGAGTCAGTAAATCAGTGAGACAGTCAGTGAGTAAGCAAGTGAGTAAGTGAGTGAGCAAGCAAATGAGAAGGTCAAGGATTAAGTCAGGGAGTCCGGGAGTAAGTAAGTAAGTAAGTAACCACGGAGTGGGTAGGTAAGAAAAGTATCAAAGCATAATATAAATAAAATAAGTAAATAAGTAAGCAAGCAAGCAAAGCAAAGCAAAGTAAAGTCAATGAAGTAAAATACAGTCAAGTAAGTAACGTGGTAAAGTAAGTAAGTATATGAATTAATTCTCTCCACAGTTTCCTCTACATTTTCATGCCCCCCGGGGGCTCTACAAAGTGATTTTTTTGTACACATCATAGGTGGTACGGGCATGGCACTCCTAAAGATGCCCACTGCTTTTCTACAGGAGAATCCTTGGAGTGACTGCAGCATGTCCAGTGATTTTGTAGTAAACCCAAAAAAGGTGATTAAACAGTGGCTATTGAGGTATGAGTTTCTGATTTTGCAAAAACTTTAATTTTGTACAGGCGCAGAAGGAGAGTATAAAGGTATGATATATTGAATATACCAAAAAATATGTTTCTATTTTTCGAGAGATCATCTGATTTTGTAGTAGACATATGTTTCTGTAGAGACAGACATACGTGTCCTAAAACAAAAAGGTCTTCCAAATAGCATGGATTGGATTTCTGTAGAAGACCCATGTACATTACAAAATCCAATTCGATCCAATTCCCATAGACTATAAATATACCACAAACATATGAATACAACATCCCTACAAAATCGGGTTCCAGACAATGTAGTATCATGGCCCACGATGCTTCTTGTGTGTGCTGCTAAAAGTTAACCTAGTGATCTTGTTTTTCTACAGCACCAAAAAAGCTTGAAAAACATACCAAACATGTAGCGAATGCATGTGTTGTTCACTGTGTGTGGAAGGCCAGGAATTTAATTTTATAGAGATTTGTTTGTTTTTTTCAATATAGCCTTTGATTCTGTAGAGGGTCCCTGTAGCAGTAGGAGTAGTAGTAGTACTAGTAGTAGTCGTAGTAGTAGGAGCAGCAGCAGCAGCAGGAGTAGTAGTAGTAGTAGCAGCAGCAGCAGGAGTAGTAGTAGTAGCAGTAGTCGTAGTAGTAGTAGTCGTAGTGGTAGTCGTAGTAGTCGTAGTAGTCGTAGTAGTAGTCGTCGTAGTAGTCGTAGTAGTCGTCGTAGTAGTAGTAGTAGGAGGAGCAGTAGGAGTAGGAGTAGGAGTAGGAGTAGGAGTAGTAGTAGTAGTAGTGGTGGTGGTAAGGTGGTAGTAGTAGTAGTAGTAGTGGTGGTGGTAAGGTGGTAGTAGTAGTAGTAGTAGTAGTAGTAGTAGTAGTAGCGGGAATGGTAGTGTGTAGGAAGTTTTAAGTAGAGGTGGTAGACAGTAGACAGAATTAAGTTTTTGTTTGTCATATAGTAGGTATAGCTGGATAGTTGTGGTTTTAGGTGGTTTGCAATATAGTTAAATAGCTTTCTTTTTGCCTAATTGTTTAGTTTATCTTTGGTGTTGAGGGAGCGCATGAGGTATTTAGGCAGCTAGTAGTAATCGCGGTTGTGGTGGTCAGGCGGAATAGCAATTGGCTTGCTGCAGCTGTGTCATTTTGGTTGTCGTCGCCGTTGCTGCTGCTGCTGCTGCTGCTTCATGGAACTCATGTTCTGGTCTAGTTTGCGGGTGACACGCAAGTCGGTTAGTGGCTTCATTGGGAGCCATGAACACCATGACCACCACACTGATTAGAAGACTTGTCTTGCCAGCGGGCCCGGATGAGGCAACATCTCTTCATTGGTCCATTGCCCAGTTGGGTGTGGGTCAAACCGAGATCGAAGCAGTCTCATTGATGGAACGCACGTTCTCCATTTGCGCCGCTGGGCCGCAAACGCCTTTGGAACAAAGAGGGAACCGCATGTTGACTAATCAGCTACTGTATATAATCAACAGAAGCAACCACCACCACCACCACCACCACCACCACCACCACCACAGCAGAAGCAACAGTGTTATTTTCTCACGCTCTTCAGGTCTGAAGTCAAGCATTGGAGAGATGGAACATTTGCCTCTCGCACTCACACGGGCAAAAGTTCTCCATCAACCCAAAAAGGGTGTTTCGTAGCAGTACCCCCCATTCCCAGTGTGCCTTGTGACCGTTGCAATCTGCACTTTGCTGTCAATTGTGCCTGGTGATGCGTTCTATTTGAGCCCACGTCATTCCTTTTCAGTCCGAGGGTAGTATCAATCTCACATTTTCAGCACCCGTGCGAACCCTTGGCCTGACCATCCCAACATCAACTGGTTTCGACCCAGCATGAAGTCCTCCCTCCAGGGATGAACCTGAGTTACAGTTGTGTTCCACAGGTGATGTTGGGAGCTTTGCTCAGCTTCTCAACGCTCGTGAGCTCCATGACATCATTGATGCAGCGCTTGGATCATCTGAAGACCGACGAGGCCTGGCGGATGGCACTGAGCTTGGCGGATGGACGAGCGAGAGACCATGCAATTGATAAACATGGGGCGGGTGCAAGGAGTCATTTATCTGAGTGCGACGGATGCCTTTCTTTCTTGACATTGATCTGCAGATTTGCTGATTGAGAGTGTGTCAGAAAGACGGCTTGGTGGCCAAGCATGTCACGAAAGCTAGCGAAGCTAGCTGGAGTTACTCTTGCGATAGCAAGGTTTCTTTCGACCGGGTGCAAATCCTAACCCCTGATTTTTCAGGTCGAAGACCCCCCCCCCCCCCCCCCC